TGACCATCGAGCAAGGATTGCACTCACGGCCACGGCCGAAGCGGGAGTTCCGTGGAGATGAAGTCGCAGTGTGGCGGCGAGGTCGTGGGATCAAGAAGTGCACGGCTCGTTGGCGTGGGCCGGGCATCGTTGCAGGAGAAGCTGGTGGAAATTTTTGGGTGGCAATGCCGGGAGCATTCATCAAGAGTGTTCACCAGAACAGATTCAGTTGCGAACAACTGAAGAAAGAGAGGCAGATAGGTTTCTGGTCAGGGACTTGCGCGCCGCAGCGGTTCGACTTTATCCCAGAGTAGGGGGATCAGGGAAGACACAAAAGCAGTTCATGGACACCCAGGAAGATCTTGTTGAGCCCTGAACCGACAATTCCTGACTGTAGACCAGATCAAGGAACCGAACCAAGCACCTGATGACAGCACCAGCCAACAGTCTCCTCAGACCATTGAGTCGGCAACATCAGTGGCTCCTGAAACCATCTCAAGCTATCAAGACAGTGTGAGTAGACTGACAAATCAGGAAAGAAGTGTTATGCAGGAGTCAGTGAGAACAGCAGACCGACTAGATGGTTATGCACGACCGGCAGAAAGCGGCCCAGAACCCAAGCGGCTTCGCCAGTCCGTTCGTCTCTGCCGGTACCACCACAATCTGAACATAGGCAACACATTGGTACAACGACTTCCTCGTCTACCTCATCCTCCACTTCATCTTCGGATATGTTGTGTGTTGAGGCCCCCCCGAGATTCCAATGCTCAAGCACGTTTGTTTGTCGGACAAGGCAGAGACGGAGGACAATTTTGTGCCTCCTATAGCAGGCGGTCGGACAGCAAATGGCAGATTGGAGAGGGTCGAGAACAACTTCTGACCGGCATCAGAAAGGAGACCAAGAACCTTCTTCAAGACAAAAGAGCACTTCGACCTCTCACAGTGGAAAAATCTAGACAGGTCAAAAGAGAGCATTCCGATGGTATAGTGCCCAGCAGACTGGTTCTCATCACCAAAGTGGAAGACAGTGGGGAAGAGATAGTGGACGGCTCGGTGGACGGCTCGTGGTGACAAGGATCCCGATGGTCGGTGAAGGCAGAACACAGTCACCTACTATTTCATCAAATGGTGTTTACAATGCGGTTGGGGGATGTCACGGGGGCTTTCCTAGAAGCGGGCGCCATTGGACGACAGAAAGGAAGATGGTCCACGGCGCCACCACACAACGGTGCATTCCCAGACTATGATCCTGAGCAACTGTTTGAAATCATCAATCCCATGTACGGCTTGAGCGACTCCCCACAGATGTGGTTCAGCAAATTTAAGAAACTTCGGTGGACACAATCTCGCATGGGTCCTTGCGTATACTTTTTGTGGGACCACAGTGCAGAACCATCACAACTTGTTGGTGTGCTCGGAGTTCATGTTGACGATGTTGTGATAGGAGGCAACGGAGAGATGTTTGAGAATGCGTTGCAACAGTTGCGTACAGAGTTTCCTTTCAGAAAGTAGACAATTCGAGAAGGGACGTTTTGTGGATCTTTCATCTCACAACAGCAGGATGAAACCATTGTGGTGAGCCAGACGGATTTTGTCGATAAGTTGAGTCGTCCAAAGCTCCAACCCTCATTTTGAGGTCACAAGTGCAAAGGCTTCGTCTTTGAAGTCAGTCCTGGGTGGGGCCCTTTGGCTAGCCAAAGAAACGAGACCTGACTTAGCAGTTCAAGTCAGTCAAGGGCAACAACTCCTTCCCAAACCGACTCTTGGACAGGCAAGAACAGTAGGAAACGTTGTCAGAACGGCTAAACAGTACAGAAATTCCACCTGGAAGATTCTACCAATTTTGCAGATCTGCGGCCTTAGTGATGCACAGTGATGCGGCCTTTGGGAATGCGAAACGGTGTGGAACACGGGCCGGGTACATCAGTGTCACGACAGCAGAGCTTGAACAGGGCACTGCCCCCTGGTCACCAGCGACCTGGAAAAGCTGGTCGAAGCGTGTCGTGGGCAGCACTTTCGCAGGTGAAACACAAGTTTTGTCAGACGCATTGGGACATGCACAGTGGCTAGTTTGCATGATTATGGAAGCAAAGCATTTTTAGTGCTCAAAGATCGTGCACAGTTTTTGCAAGAGTTGGGAATCCAAGCAGTGACGGATTGCAAATCAATTCTTGACCACCTCCAAACTTTTGCATCACCCAGCAGTGTTTCGGACAAACGTGTGGCCATTGATTTGGTGATCCTTATAGAGATCTGTTGACAATGATTCGAGGTCGTATTAGGTGGGTCCCAACTTGGCTTCAACTAGCAGACGCGTTGACAAAGGAAACCGCAGACGCAATGGACAATCTTAGAGGAGCCATGTCTAACTGTCTATCAAATGAGTTCTGAAAGCACGAACATGGAACTTACTGCTGAAGAAAAGAGGATCAGAAAGGACCGTGTCACGGCAGGTGAACAGGGCTCAAGCGTTCTTTTGGTGAGATCACAGCTCACTTTAGACGACACGGTCATGGTGAAGGTGAACACCTCAGGATTGACGGAGAAGGAGGTCCGTGGGCTGATGGAAATCATCAGGCAATTCGGAGGATTTTCTGAAGAATGTCAGTCAATCAAGAGCAACATGCAAGATTTGCATTCCATTGTCGTTCATCGATGCCCATCGATTTCATGGTGAGACGGCGGCAGCTACTTTTACTTTCTCTAAGTCAACTGGCATGATGGCCATCAACGAGGGTGCAGCGTTCATCGACCACATTGAGGATGTGATCAAGGTGGTGCTTCAGGAGTGGCAGCCGGTGCCTTTGACGAAAGGCCATGAGCATTGGGGTGAGGCATTTCATCAAATCATAAGGATGGAGTGCGATCCTTGTTCTTGGAGCAAGACACCATGAATGTGAAGAAGGAGGGACAGCCTTCCGATCACATGAAGCAAATGACTCCACAAGTGTATGTGCCTGACGATCCTGAGTTTCATGCCACCATTGCGGAGTTGAGCCATGAGGCTTCTCAAGCAAAGATTTTTGCAGACCATGTTGAAAGACTACGGCGCTGATCGAGGCATGATCATGGAACTCAGCGGACTGGCTGAGAAGTTTGACATCGTCTCGGACACCGAAGGGTCCGATGTGAAGGAAGAGCCGAAGAGTGTCAAAGGCAAAGGCCAAGTCCCAGAATTTTGGCTAGCGTGGTTGATGATCCATGGTGCGTGGTGGCGAATGATCCCAGCATTGCCACATAAAAGATTTGAGAGGAGTGTGAAAAGCACTTGTCAGGCATGCTGGATCATGTTCATACGCTGCTGCTATGTTTACAGGTCGAGTAGCGGTCGTCAGGACACTGTGGAACAGTGCAGGGGACCCGAATCGAGCTTGGCCCTTAGAAAAGGCTCGGAGTTTTTCCTTGTGGTGCAGGCGCATCATTTTGTGTGAGGAGGGAAGCCAGTTTGAACCAACACAATGGCCTAGCACCGTTGTCTTTGTTTCAAGTGGTTGTGGCCTGAATGGAGGATGCCGAATGACGACACGTGGAGGCCTGCACATGGCCACAGCTCCCCGCTCAGCAAATGAAGATGGGTGACCAGAACCGTTGGGGCTAGAGGCCATTGTTGCGTCTTTGGGACGCGCACTCACGATTGGAGATGCCCGGAGCTGGACATCATTCATGGAGCAAGTGCAGGCCTCTCAGATCGACCCTTTCATAAGGCCTATCAGGGGCGACAAGCCCCTCGGTGAGACCGTTTCTCCAGCAAGAAGGGTGGCATCGCTGCGGTGATCACAAGCCTCCACCATGAGGATTGGACTCCGTCAGCAGGTGCAGAAGAGGTGAATTTCACTCAGTTGCGCGTGGGCGATTTCGAGTTCTAAGAGTGTTCCGGGACGGTTTATAATGCCATCTGTGGAGGGATGAAGGACCTAAAGCTTGGATACCAAAGAGACGCGTTTATTAGTTGAGTTCAAAACTTGGGGGTCCCAAGTTGGGCGCACTGTGGAAAATACAGCTTCTGACAACTTTGAGAATTGCATGTTTCTGCTCCCCTTGGCTTCCCATCTGGTGACCTTCAGGAAAAAGAACGCGTGCTTAATTAGGCAATACGATCTTTGGATGCTGTCCCTGAACAGGGCGCTCTTCCTCTTCCAAGTCTCCCAAACTTGCCAACACATGCCATTCCCAAAACTCGAGCTCTTCTCCGAAATCATGTTGACTTCACAACAAAGACTTCCCCCCCAGTCAGTAACCTCAGGGATGTCTTCCAAATGTAACATCTCCCGTGCCTTATGCAATGGGCCTTCGTTAAAGTACGAAAGTCATACCTGATAAGGGACAAACTTGGCATTTCACAATAAACAAGTATAGCCGCATAACCGATTATTTTGTGAGGGCACTTGTGAATCTTGCTCATGTGAACCGAACCAGAGCCTTATCACAAACCAAGAAAACGTGTGTATATATATATATATATATATGTGACACATCTCTCCAACGGAGCGTTGTTCTCCACTTTTCTCACGAGGTGCCGCCTGGTTGTCACTGCCCGAGGCATTTGAGAGCAAAGTCAGTTCTGCTGAAGGTGAAACATATACTGATGCGGCGCTCGAGCTGTGTAATTAACATCAATCAAAGGCCTCGAGGTATCAAAGGACTCCCATGGAGGACCCTCCGCTCCAATCACCCGCAACAAACAATTGCAGTCGCAGGGACACAGTGGGCCTTCAAGAAATCCGCAATGAATGTAAAACACGTTGCTGTGGTGCAATGATGACGAGCGTCAGAGTGAAGGGCGCTCAACTTCTCAACGGTTGTCTGGAAAGGAAACCAGTGCTCGATGACTTTGCAGGAGCATCTGGTCATAACAGCATTCATTCGGCAGTACTGGACCACCAAGTGGTCTTGTCTTCCTCATAGTTTTGGTATTCAGGGGATGCCTTTTCATTTGAAGCACTTTTGTGCTAGCCGCTAGCTCCACGAGGAATTGTTGATTCCATACTGCAATACGCAGATGAACGTCGTTTGCTTCTAAAATGCAAGTGTCCAGTGCTGCCGAAATGGAGTCATTTAGTGTCCAACCGAGCACATGGGCAACAAAGGAAGCCGTTCCGCCAAGTTTGTCGCTCCTCACGAGCTCCAACAAGACATGGTTCGATCGGTTTCTGATGCTTGCACCGCGCTCCTGGCCATAAGCGGCAGCGATCTGAAGCCCCCTCGGACCTCGGTTGCAAGAAGCCTAAAATGGCTGGAAGATCGCCAGAAAGACTGTCAAACTTCGATATGCACCGTGAAGACCAGCAATCTAAGGTACGCACTTCCTTGGCGGCCATCCTGCTGGACTATTTGCATCTTCCGCTAAAAGAACACCAATCAATACACCATTAGCTGCACATACGGTTGTGGATTTTGCGATAACCAACCAGAACTGCTTATAAATTGGACATGTGGCTTTGCAAGATGAAATGACAATTACTTGATGCGAAAGTCTGGGGAAGGCCAGGCCACAATGCCATACTTAAAACATGTACCTCAACGATCTTGAAACAAATAGTCCTCATCCAAATTCTCCTGAACAGCATGTTTCTTTACAACATGAGTTTGTGACTGGTCCAAGGCTATGGGGTACACCAATCACACACAGGAGTGGAATGCAACGGCCGTGAAGGCGCATTGACACCTTGGGGATCATGCCAGCCATGCTCTCCAGTGGCGGCGCGGACTCAAGCGCCTCTCAGCCAAAGGCGCTGCACATCTTCCAACAAAACAACATGGGCATTGCAGTGGCTGGTCTGTTTGGAGAGCCGCCTGACTAGTTTGGAGAGACGTCTGACTGCGTTGCCCGAAATCATCCGAAATCACCGGAAATCTTGGCAACTTCCAGTAAGTGATCGTACTTTGTGTGACGAGAGAGCTTCGAACGCCTATCTTCCGTTGAGCGATGCGGGTTCGGAGTTGAGTCATCAAGCATCTGCAGGAGTTATCGGTTGATAAACGTGCAAATCCGACAATTATGTCAAGGTTTGGCACTGCAATCAAAAGCGGAAAACACACATAGAGGTTCACATGCTCCAATGGTTTAAAATATGTGTTCAAGGTGTCATGCACCTTCATGGCTTTTGATATCGACGGCCTCCACAGGTTGCAAATGGGAAGAAGCTCCCTCAGCTCCTCGGGAGTTCTACCAGGAATCAGGAATGCTGAATTTTGAATGGATTCTAATGCGACCACTTCTTCGGTAATAGAGCCATGTGCGGCCAATGAATTCACATAAACTCCACATTCTGTCACTGACCTTTCTGTTACATCTTGCTGGAGTGGCAAAACCGGCTATCCCCCTTCAGGTTGCGATCCTGTCTTATTGAGAGCCACCGAAGTTGTATCAAAGCGATCCAATTGGCAGGACCATTGCATGCGCCCATGCTTTGGGCCCTTTGTCTGGAAGAATGAAACCATAAAAGGACAAGATCTCGATACACTTCACACCACAGTTCGAGAGCATCTTCGAAGGCTCTCCTGCTGACCGTCTTCGCGGTCTGGGAGCAGCGCCATCGTCTTGATGGTCCTGCCAATGAGACAATGGACAATTGGACAATCTCAATCCATGGATGGACAAGAAATGAGCGAACGGAGCTGAGTTGCCCAAGTCAACTATCAAAACCGTCCCTGGAAGTGATACGGTATTTGTGGAGGGAACATCTACTGTAATGGCACCCTTCGGACTTGTAAAAGGTGGTCTTGGGTAGTATTGGACCGCAAGGTGGTCTAGTGATATGCAGTGTTTCTGCAATCAGTGCTTTTTCATGATGTCTTTGTTTAGGTCTAGGTTTTATGAATGGAAGTTGGTTGGCAGCTGTTTCCTGAACGAACTGTTTGTTCCGTAGTTGCGAAGCCATGCGAAGCTGCCATGCGAGCAATTTCTTAGCGCTCCTGGTCATCGGCAGTTTGAGGTTGTGTGAGACCTCAGCTGTGAAAAGCATGGTTTTCCTCAAACAAGGGAACCTCATCAGGAAGTTGTATAGAACAAGTAGGAAACATTGCGTTCGGAAGTGCTTTAGAAACTCCCATTCAACTAGACACGTCAGCCTCAATCGGTTTCCATGCAGCCCAACAATCTAGGATGCCCACAGTGGTGACGACCCTGGCATTCGACGATGAGTTGGTCATCCCATCAATCAATCTGCCTGACCCCCACAATCCAACTTGTTCTCCACTCAGGCCCGTGTCATGTGGCTTGCGGGGCTTCTGAATCTTTGAGCAAGCGTTCGAAAGAAAAGTAGCACGTGAGCCTGTCAATTCTTTGGTAACACAAATCTCATCAAATCTCGATCTGTGGGATGGTTGCTTGATTGCTTTTGGATGGCTAACTGAAAAGAAGAAAACATCTGCCACAATCCTGCTTCAATCGGCAAACATTGCGACCTTCCACAAAGCATGGTCGATGTGCCTGTTTGGGAGCATAGTAAGTATAGCAAAGCTCTCCAAACCCCTCGGATGTTCTCCCGCTTTGTGGGTCCCTCCAATCTGCGGGCACAAGCTGCGCCTCCAATGGCAAATTTGACCAAGCTGAGCCCTGAGCTCCTCTGACCAAGAACATCGGGATGTCAACAACCCTTCACTGGCCGACCACAACACCCTAAAATGCTGCAAAATCTAAGTCAGAAGGAAACTCATTGTGGATCCCAAAGGGAAACCACGAACCAACAGCCTGCAAAGGCGAGACGCTGTAACCATGGTACATTTTTCAATTGGATGTGTACCATGGTGAACCTATGGCCAAGATGGGTTGAATCTCACCCAAGCAGGCATTCTTCCTGAGCCTCGCGGAGCGGTGCCATTCCCTTCCTGCAAGTTGTCCGCGCACTAATCTATCAAAGTCAAACCATGATCGATGAGTAGAGCGCTTTCCAAACAGTGGCCCAAACAGTGGCCTCAAGTCACAAGCACAGGCTCATTCAGGATTGTTTATTTGAATACTTGTTTCGGTGTGCCTTCCACGCAGAAAACAAACATATGTATTAGAAAACAACCTGGGCAATCAAAGCACATGCCCTTAGCAACAAAAGATTGGGAAGGTGTTGAACGTGGCTGAGGCCTTGGTGATGTGGCATTCAGGCCTCTCAATCTGTTGGCAATCTTGCAAAGAAGTATCTCGCAAGCTTCTCATGTTGTTTCCAAGTTCAACAGTTATCTCTACAATTGGGATTTTGCTTGAGGCTGCTTTGTCACTCTGGAGGCAAAATACCTCCGGCATGGTGTGCCAAAGGCATGCGAAAATCCGGACTGTGTAGTTTGAGTTTTGTGATCTTCACATTTTTCTTTTTCGTTGAAGGACTCATTTGGGTACATGCCTCTTTGTGCAGCAATATGTCATCAACTTGTTGGGACCTTTGAGACACAATTTGCGCGACTTTTGCTTGTGAGGAGCAACGGGCCTTTTGAGCGGTAGCAGGGTAGTCTATCCTGAAAACCATGAGCCAAAAACACCCAATCGCGATTCTTTTAGCGTGCCCATCAGTTCATGTGGCCTAGTCCGTCTGTGTGGAATCCAATCACATCCAATCCAACCCAATGTGGAATGGAACTCCGAGGAGTTAGTCCGAGCAAGAAACCGCCAAAACGGTTGATACTAAATAGAAATAATTAGTCGAACAAAGTCAACTTCAGCTGGCTACTAGGTGTGTGTTTTCGTGATCATTGCAATTGAGAGGTGTTCAAAGGCTTTCGGCCGTGTCCTTGTAATCCTTGACATTTACTGACCAAGGCTTTGGCTTGTCCTTTTCTATATTATTGCTTACGTACCCCTTACCTGCGAAACTCTCTTGGCACTTGGCACATAAGCAAAGAACACCACTAAAGCTGCAGCCAGGCAAATTACCGTTTCTGAGCATTCAGGAATCAATGCGGAAAGCCGTTATGCAAGGGGAAGATGAGCTATAAAATTATGGAAATTGCAAAATGTACGACAAGCAAATGAGGTAGGATTCAGGAACAGCCAAACAACGGATCGAGCACATGAAACAGTGTTATTTAACAACTTTTGTGGACCTAACTCATTGCTCAAAGGTTCAGATTAGCTTCTCACGAAGTTGCCAAATCTGCCTTCATGTGCTGTGGACACATGAGATGCACGGTTCTTTGGTTCAGAACCGTTCAGGTTGCAGCTGCGGACACATGAGATAGGCAAACTCATTTCTGCATGTCACTACTCCTGTGTCATCTCCGGGTTGTATACAAGTAAAGGACTCAGGAAAAACCACGAAGAAAAACCACGGGGACGCATCAGGATGAAGTACGGGCAAGGGTATGCTATGCCATGAAGAAAAGGTTTTGTAGCTGCTTGTTGTTTTAAACGGATTTGATGTGCTCTCAGCCACTCAACCTTTGCAGCTCTGCAGCAGGGCTAGTTTTGCTGCTGATTCATCATTGCCAACATCTACCAACTCAGGTTGCATGGCCACTGTTTCTTGTGTTCATGCATTTCTTTGCGCAGAATCTGATGTTGTTCGGGTTCGGGGGTGGAGCGGGTTACGGGGGAGTGGTTAATGTATCTCACTACCAAGTGCACGACGTTATGACGTTGCAGGATACTGCGCGTTTCGCTTGCATGTACCAAGGAGTCTCTGTTTTGTTCAAGCAGGTAGTTGGGCTGAATCTTTCATTTTCAATTTTTCCTGCTTTTGGCCTTTTGTTCATGTTCAATGTTTATATTGAAGTTGGGGCGCTGGACAGGGATGGATCAGCTCCCACCATCTTTGCAATTGTGGTTTGACGTCGGCCCGTTCTACATTGATAGCATGCTGAACACCTTCTATGATGCTTCCAGGCCTGATCCTCCTGTGACTGAAATGCGGAGTTTTGTGTCTTGAAACGCTGCGTGAACTGTTTGCTGGATTTTGAAAGGACATGGTGGCACTCATCTTTCTCTTCACCCGCTATCCTGGAGACATGCTCCATGCCCCTTGCATAAGTGGAGCTCGCGTAAACGTTCAAAAACAGTTATTTTTTTTCCGCCAGTGTCTCAGTATATAATACGCCGTAACTTTGAATCAACATGAAGGTGTTGTCATCAATCGAAGCCTTCAAAACCTGTCTCCAAGGGTTTCCGAACGTGAGGCGACAACTTCATGAGCGATTCAGGGTGTGACGGCCTCCACTTGCAAAGCTGACAAAGCTCCCTGTTCAGCTCCTGTCAAAACCAATCAGCTCAAATGGGTCGCTTTAATCGGCTGGTTTCCAACAAGCAACAGGGTGCTCATCACATCTTGATGCAACAGTTCCGGCAAAGACATGCAAACATTGCAATTTTACCTCAGATAGCTATAAGTTATAAGGGTTCTTAGTTCTTACTTCTCAATGGTCTGGCTCTGTATCGGCGTTTGTTTGGCCATGCTGGTGCTAGTGCACGTGCTGGCTCTGGATCGGCGTTTCATTCTGCCCGTGTTGGTGCTGGTGTAGGTGCTGGCTCGAGGTTTCGGTTTGCCCGTGCTGGTGCTGGGTCGGCGTTTCGTTTTGCCCGTGCTGGTGCTGGTGCTGGATCGGCGTTTGTTTGGCCACGCTGGTGTAGTGCAGGTGCTGGCTCTGGATCGGCGTTTTCATTTTGCGGGTCATGCTGCCGTGACATCATGGCATGGCAGGGGCGACATCATGTCATGCCAGGGATGACATCATGTCATGCCAGGGGTGACATGATCATAATGTCGTCTGGGCAGCTTTGGCTGGTCCTTGCCGATCTTGCAGTATTGGCTAAAGCGTGGCATTCAGCTGATAGATGTTGCGCATATTGGTGGACTGGTCTGATGTTGAGTGCGGTGGCGTGTCCTTTAAACCTATACACCGTATACACCCGCTATCTGGGACCTATGCCGGTGTAATTCCAAGTCTCTAGTATTGGGCCCACAAACTTCACTTTTCCTCCAAATAGCTGCAAGACTAGCTGCCAGCTATTTAGGGGCTCTTACTTCTGAATTGAATGGCGTGGCTCTGGGTCGAAGTTTCAAATTGCCGGTGCTGGTGCTGGTGCTGGATCGGCGTTTTGTTTGAATCGTGCTGGTGCAGTGCAGTTCTGGTGTGGGTGTGCGGGTGCGGGCGCTGGCGCTGGCGCTGCTGCTGCTGCTGATCGTCGTTTTGTGTGGGCATGCTGCTGCTGGTGCTATGCCCTGGTATGACATGATGTTGTCCCTGGCATGACACCATGTCACCACAAAGGGAAGGATGCACACCACAAGGCAATATATGCATCAATGTGTGAGGCACCATAGGGGTGGATATCGTCCCTGCCCTGACAGATGTCACCCCTGGCATGACATGAGGCAAGGTGAACAATGCCCTTGGCACCACTCATTGACAACGAAAGCTATTAGACATTGAGATGTTTTCCTTCAGGCACTATGAGCTTTTTCAATCTTTTTCCCTATTCATCCACTATCTGGGGTCTATGCCGGTGTAATTCTTGAATTTCCAGTTGTGTCAAAGCTATTGACGCTTTATCTGGAGCCATCAATGAAGCCGCAAAATGCCCAGTTGATCTAAACACCTCACACCAAGATTCTACACTGCTTGAACCATCCTGGCGGGCTCGGAACAATATCATCGTCTCCGTGGTCCTGCCAAAAATATGCAATGAATCGAGTGGCCCTTGGTGATCTGAACAAGAGCTGGTGGAAAGATTGGTCTTCGGCCAAGGACACCATACTCTTGCAGCTCACAAAAGGCAAAGCCAGGAAGCTCACACATTCCATCTTGGCAGGTTATCCTACTTGCTCAGCACGCTTAGCACACCTCGATGATGCTGGAACCGTTGTCGAGCCCAGAAGATGCTGGTTGCGGCGCCTGTCATGTGGCTCTGGACAGGCTCGCAGAGTTTGCGCTCTTGCTATTGAAAAAGGTGCAAAGATACTAGCAAACATCTTGCGCATACAAATGACATCGGGTCTTTGCATTCTCTTTCAAGCGATAGGACAGCTGAAACTGCTTGGACAATCCAAGACTAAACATTTGAAGTTCACGAAATCAGGCAAATCCGCACTCTCAGAAAAAGACAAGCTTGCATCAAGATGGTGCGCAGCTGAGACCAGGCGCTGTCAAGTTGCGATCAGGGCAGCAAATACTTGGAGTGAAGAGGGGGTTCGTTGGTCGACTGAATTGACCTTGTGCTAGGAGCTACAAACAGGAACCATCCTTTTCAATGTCAAAGAATTCTCCAAGAACTCCGACAGTCCCCGTTTCTGCCTTTCAAGTTAGCAAGTTTGCGTGGGAATACTGAGATGACCCTTGTTCATCCTTGTTCCATGTAAGGCACTGGGCCTGGCAGAATGCATCAGAGGTCAACCAATGAGGCAGTTGGACCTGATACAGGGGCGTCCGACTGCGATCGTAGCATGAACGTTGGCAAACAAACAAAACAGGACTAAGAAGGAATCGTCGTGAACATGGAAAACAAAGAAACAAAGGCGACCACGGGCTTCAATACTTGCATTGAATGCTTGGGGAAAAATCGTTTCAGGTTTACACGACGCGAAGCTTGTGCTTGGTGATCCAAGAGAAAGCAGGGGATGGTCGAGACTGACCTGCGTTGGCAGCTACATTGCCGGCCTACATCCTTCTCTCTTTACCAGGAGGCTGAAAGCCAGGAAAAAGTTTGGTGATTAAACTATGAGTTGCTCCAACGGGACTAGAACTTGAGGCCAGAGGGGGTGAACGAAAGCTAGCCGGGCGGGGAGGCGTGCGCATGCTAGGGTGTGGCTGCGCAGACAACCAAGCAACAAACCACCAAGCAGCAGCAGCAGCAACGGACCACCAAGCAGCTGCAGCAGCAGCAAACCACCAAGCAGCTGCAGCAAACCACCAAGCATCTGCAGTCTACCACCAAGCAGCTGCAGCAAACCACAAAGGAACAGCAGCAGCAGAAGCAGCAGACCCAGAGCAGCAGCAGCAGACCACCCAGCGCCGCAGCAGCAGCAAACCACCCAGCGCCAGCAGACCACCCAGCGCAGCAGCAGCAGCAGCAGCAGGCAGCAGCAGCAGCAGCAGACCACCCAGCGCCAGCAGCAGCAGCAGACCACCCAGTGCCAGCAGCAGCAGCAGCAGCAGACCAGCAGGCGAGCACGTGAGGCCATAGTGTTGCAAATGCTGGGCCAAAATTGGTACGAAAAAGGGGTTTAAATTAACACCTTTTTGGGTGCAATGTGTGCAGGCGGCATTTCTTGCATCATGGCCTTACCCCTCGTACACCACTAGTTCCCTTGTGCACTCGGACTATCGGCACTCAAAGGTTGACAAAACTGCTTTAGACCGCACGTGGAGTCCAAGTGCTCCCACAGTGCATAGCCGGAGGGAATGAACCGCCCACCGAGTAGCAGCCACAGCAGCAGCAGCCCACCCCGCAGCAGCAGCAGCATACCACCCAGCAGCAGGAGGAAACGAGCACACCAGGCAGCAGCAGCTAATTTGTTTCCACCTGCTCACCGCGTGCAGGGGGGAGTTGAACCTCCGGAGGAGGGGGGGGTCCATAAGATTGATTTAATCAATTATTTGAGGTTTCTGAAGCGCGTCCACCCGGCACCCCGTCATTTTACTTGCTAAAGCAAGAGCAACTTCAGCTAGCTAAGGCTAGCTTTCGTGATGAATTGATCTGCCTGGCAGGACTCACAAACACACCCTCTACAAGCCGGCAAGTTTACAGAGTTGCGCCGACCACCCGAACCATCACACACAAATTTAAGGCATGCTTTCCAATATTTGTCATCCACACTCCGAATCATCCTCAAATGCTTGATAGGACCTAAGAAGCAACCCCCCTACTAGACTCTACTTGGTGCAATTCAAAATGTGACGGCCTCCACTTGCAAAGCTGAAAAAGTTCCCTGTTCAGCTCCTGAGAACTCTGCAGCCAATTCTGAGCGAAAAACCGTAGCCTTCATGTCACAGCCAGTTAAACGGACAATCGGATCACAACTTCTCAACTGGTTGGAATACACTTGGAGAAATCAAAGGGTGCTCACCACATGCTGATGCAGCTGTTTCAGCAAAATCTGCAATCCTTCTTGAGGTTCCAATCGCGCCATCTCAAGACCTGGCATTACAAATGGGACTGCATAGCAGCACTTGAGGAGACGGGGGTGGACGAAAGGTAGCATGTCTGCGGCTGCTGCT